ATTGCTTTTACTCGGATCTCGAGGGCGCGGGCCAGCTTTAGGGTGTGCAGATTGCTGGCCAGGATACCACCACTTGTGAGCTCAACCGTCTCTTCAGCAACCCGACGGTGGCAGCGGCTTCTGACAGGGCCATCCAGGGCTTGGAGCCCATTGTCAAGAACGCGGACAATCCGCCCCAGGCCTTCCCGAACCCATGGATCGGAGCGTCACAGGCGGATTTCGTGGAGTTCATGCGCTCGTACTTTCTCATGCTCCCCGAACCGACTGGCAAGGACAACGGGTTTTCGTACATCCTCAAGATGAACTTCCTCCAGCGCCGCAACCAGGCGTCGATTGATCTCTTCAACAAGTTCAAAAGCCAGACGCCTCCGGCGACCACGGCCACCACAGAGTTCTTCGATTGGACGTACAAGTGGGTCACTCTGAGGGGCATGTATATGGACTCGAAAGCCTCCCTTGATACGGTTGCGCGGTGGGTGGAGTACGTCAACGACCCTGCTCAGGCCGACAACGTCCGGGGGAACATGTCTGCCTACGAGGGCTACGATCCCGACGACCCCCCCGGCTACGGCTACAATTCCTTTAACCAGTACTTCTCGAGGATCTTCAAAGATTACAACAAGAGCAGGCCCATCAGTCAGCCAGAGGACAAAATGGTGGTTACAGCCCCAGGGGACGTGTTGATCAATTTTATCATCAATTATCTCACGAACCAGACCAGGCTGCCCGTGAAGGGGAGCGACTTCAATGTCAAGGAGCTGCTGAACGGCTCCGCGCTGGCCTCGAAGTTCATCGGTGGTACTGCGGTCTCCAACGTGCTCGAGCCTTACGCTTGCCACAATTTCCACGCCCCCGTGGACGGGCGCCTCGTTGAAGCGGTGGACGTGCCAGGTTTTTTCTTCGGCATCCCGGACGGCATGCGGTGGTTTGGCAGCGACAACACTGGCAGCTCGGACACGGACTTCGGGGTGTTCTCGGGCTTCCACCGCCTCGTATTAATCTACGACACCGGCCCGTATGGATTGGTGGCGCAGGTGGCGGTCGGCTTGGCGGACGTGAACACCATCTGCCCCACGGTGAATGCTGAGATGCCTTCGGTGCCTCCTGGCTCTTGCAGCGGCGCTTCGTGCCCCGAGGTCAGAAAGGGCGAACGCTTGGGGTTCTTTCTATACGGCGGGTCGCTGAACATCCTCCTCTTCCAGCCTGGCGTGTTCGCTTCCCAGGACCTCCTCATGGGCAACCGCCTCGGCAGCATGAGCGCCATATTATAGCCTCCCCCGCCCTGAGCGTCATCAAGCTAATGCGCAGCTGGAGTACCCGTGAGGTCAAGCGGCACGGCTCTTACAGAATGGTCCTCCTTCGTTCCGTTCTTTCCGTCCTCTCTGACGTCATATCTGAGGGGGGAGGGAGAGGTTGAGGGGGGGCAAGCCAGATCCGAGGAGGTTTGTCCACCGCCGAGCTGAGGCGCCACTGTTCTCGCACTGCGCCTTTTGAGGTCGCGGGAGGGGCGGCCAGCCGCATCGGTCAGCTGGCCTGCCCGCCCCGCGTGCTCCGACCTTTCGGAGCCACTCATGCTATGATTTGAAGTCCCCACCTTCCCCCTTCCTCCTCCTCCTCCTCCTCCGCCTCCTCCTCCCCTCTTTTCCGAGCCCTCCTTCCTTCTTCTCCACCTCTTCCTCCTTCCGTCAGTCTTGCGCCTCGCATGCCAAGTTGACTGGTCTGAGCATTGCTTGGTCCGAGCGTGGCCTCGGCATTGGCATTGGCTAAGCCCTCACCAGGTGCTGCCATTCTGGCTGGCCAGCCTTGCCCGCCACCTCCCCTCCCCTCCCCTCATTGCGCCGTTGCCAAGCATATGATCTTTTTCCTGCAGTCGAGCTTGCACGACGTGGTCGTGTATCGTGGCGCAGTCGAGCCGAGTCAAACATGGTGCCGTGCTTCCTGGAGCAGGCGGAGGAGCAATTCTCGAAGAGGGGAGGGAGAGGTTGGGAGGGGGGGGGGGCAAGCCAGATCCGAGGAGGTTTGTCCACCGCCGAGCTGAGGCGCCACTGTTTTCGCACTGCGCCTTTTTAGGTCGCGGGAGGGGCGGGCAGGCCGCATCGGTCAGCTGGCCTGCCCGCCCCGCATGCTCCGACCTTTCGAAGCCACTCATGCTATGATTTGAAGTCCCCACCTTCCCACTCCCAACCTTCCCCCCCCTCTTTTCAGAGCCCTCCTTCCTTCTTCTCCACATCTTCCTCCGTCCGTCAGTCTTGCGCCTCGCATGCCAAGTTGACTGGTCTGAGCATTGCTTGGTCCGAGCGTGGCCTCGGCGTTGGCATTGGCAAAGCCTTCACCAGGAAAGCAGCATTAGTAGTAACAGTAACGCTAAGCTAAAGCTAAGCTAAAACTAAGCTAAAGCTAAGCTAAAGCTAAGCCACAGCTAAGCTAACGCTAAGCTAAAGCTAAGCTAAAGCTAAGCTAAAGCTAAGCTAAAGCTAAGACAAAGCTAAGCTAAAGCTAAGCTAAAGCTGAGCAGCAGCTAAGCTGAAGCTAAGCTACAGCTAAGCTAAATATAATCTAAAGCTAAGCTAAAGCTAAGCTAAAACTAAAGCTAAGCTAAAGCTAAGCTAAAGCTAAGCTAAAGCTAAGCTAAAGCTAAGCTGTAAATCTAAGCTACAGCTAAGCTCAAGCTAAGCTAAAACTAAGCTAAAGCTAAGCTAAACGCAAAGCGAAAAGCTAAGCGAAACGATAAGCTAAAGCTAAGCTACAGCTAAGGTAAAGCTAAGCTGAAGCTAAGCTAAAGCTAAAGCTAAAGCTAAAGCTGAAGCTCCCAGGGGACTGGGGGGAACCGCTCCCAGGGGACTGGGGGAACCGCCCGGGGCGCTTTGCACTGCCCGGCCCCTTTTTTTTTTTTTTTAATTTTCTGCTTTTTTTTTTTTTTTTTTTTTTTTTTTTTTTTTTTTTTTTTTGTTTTTTTTTTTTTTTTTTTTTTTTTTTTTTTTTTTTTTTTTTTTTTTTTTTTTTTTTTTTTTTTTTTTTTTTTTTTTTTTTTTATTTTTTTCTTTTTTTTTTTTTTTTTTTTTTGTTTTTTTTTTTTTTTTTTTTTTTTCTTTTTTTTTTTTTTTGTTTTTTTTTTTTTTTTTTTTTTTTTTCTTTTTTTATTTTTTTATTTTTTTTTTTTTTTTTTTTTTTTTTCTTTTTTTTTCTTTTTTTTTTTATTTTTTTTTTTTATTTTTTTTTTTTAAGCTAAGAGAGTAAGAACCCTTCTAGGCAGAGCCTAGGTAGGAAAAAAGAGAACCCCGTCGAAGGCCCTGGGCGGAACAAAAGTGCTGCATGCCTTAAGAAGCATTGCGTATATGTTTGGCAAGTTCGCTTTTTCGACCCACCAGCGTCCCAGGCGGGTTCGAGCGGACCCCAAGAGCGCCCCAAGGCCGCCGAGGAGGCCTCCAACACGGTTCCCCAATATCCAGGATGGCCACCAGACGGCCCAAGAAGCGTCCAAGACGACCCACAAATGCTTCCAGCGGGCCCGAGGCCCAAAAGAGACCCCCCAAACGCCCCCCCAAAACGGCTCTCCGACCGCCCTCGGCGACACGGTGGCTCCCAGAGCATCCCGGCGGTCCACACGAGGCCCCCACAGTCTCCCAAGAAGTCCGCAAGAGACCCCTGGTAGACGCCCAAGTGGCCTTCAGGAGTCCCCCCAGCGGCCCCCTCAGAGACTGCAAGAGGCACCTTGCACGTCTGCACCTTCATTCCCATTCCAGAGTGCATGCTGGCACTGAGTATACACACGCTCTCCCCACCACTCCTCCTCCTCCTCCTCGTCCTCCTCGTCCTCCTCCACCTCTTCCACCTCTTCCACCTCTTCCTCCTCGTCGTCGTCGTCGTCCTCCTCCTCCTACCTCCCCCTCCCCCACCCCTCCCTCCTCTCCCCTGCTTCCTCCTCCCTGTTCCCCTCCCCTGTGACTTTCTTGCTGTCCTTCATTTCCTGATGTTTTCTCTTCCCTCCACTCTCCTCCGCCTCTCTCCTACCATCATCATTTCTCTTTTCCTTCCCTCATGCTCCTTCTCCTCCTTCCTCCTCGTCCTCGTCCTCCCCACTCCGTCCTCTCATTGTTCTTCCTCCTCCTCCTCCTCCTCCTCCCGACCCCCGCCTCCTCATCCTGCCCCTCCTCCCTCCGTCCGCAGCCATTTTGGCTCAAGCCGTTTGGGCTTGACACGCGCTTCGCCGACTGCAGGGCCTGGCCTAGCAAGCACACCGCCGACTCTGCGGCTCAGCGTCCTACATTCCCAGACCCCCTCGAGTCATGAGCAAATCATGACGGGGATTTTTTTGGTATTTTCGGCCCCTGGGGACCCTCACCGGCCCTCGGGACCGTCAAAAACGACCCAGGACAAAAAACCGGTCCCAGGGAACGGGTCCAGACCGCTGGGGGTTCACGTTATGACGAATTCATGACGTCTAGGGTCTGGGTTCCTCGCAGTGTCCGTACAGCATCCACTGCTCACAGCACCCATGGCCTACGGCCTGGCGCCCAGCGGCGAGGGCGTGGCGGAGCAGCCCCCCCTCGTGGCTCGGCTGCGCAATACCCGGCTGTGCTCCTACTTCCTGAGGGGCAACTGCAAGTACGGCCGAACGTGCGACTTTGCCCACGCTGGGTCGGAGCTCATGCCGTCCCCGGACTTCACCAACATGCACATGTGCAGGGCCTTCCAACTTGGCAGGTGCAAGAGGAAGTTCTGCAGATTCGCCCACGGCGTGCAGGAGCTCCGGCCCGGTTCGGTGTTCCCGCCGAGCATTCCGCCATGTCGCACCAGGCTCCGCGCGGGGGGTCCGCCCCTTTCACGCCCGCGTGCCTGCAGCCCCTGCAGCCTGTCAAGCTGGACCTTCTGATGCTGCCTGCCGAGCCTCACACCCCGGCCTTCGGCGTCGCGGAGCCCTTCGCGAGCCCTTCGCGCACGCTGGAGAAGCCGCAGACGCGTCTTGACCACCTCGGCCCCGCCCGCCCGATCGGGTGGGCGCCGCTGCGAGGGCCGCTCGGCCTCCGCAGCGACGACGACGACGGCGGCTTCGGCGACGACGGCGGCGGCGAGGCTCTCGCGGCCAGTCCGCGCGCGTCCGCGGCCTCGGCGTCCACCGCCGACAACGACGGCGGGCTGTCCCAGAGCTCTTGGGACGCCGTGCTGTTCGGCGTGCCCACTCGCCTGCCGGCGCCCAGCGCCCACGCCCGCCCGCGCGCGGACCAGCCGGGGGCCTCCAAGGGCCTCCGAGGGCCTCCTGGGTGGGCGCGGCGGGCGTCCCGGAGCGCGCCGGCGGCCGCAGCAGGCCGGCAGGTGTGCGGTCCGTCTCCGCGGGCCTGTGTCTGAGGGCGGTCGCCCGCGCACGCGGGGGCCGCGAAGGGCGTGCACGTGCACGTGTCTCAGGAGGGGAAGAAACACACAGACACAATTAATCCTCGATTCCCCAGAAAATATGGGAAAGTATGGGAAAATATGGGAAGTGGGGGGGAGGACAACCCCCCCCCAAATATGGGAAAATATGGGGAAAACGTTTATCAGTGTGTATCTATTTGTGTGTCCTGGGGCCCCTTCACACGTGTCTCTCCGCTCGGGGCCTCCCAGAGGAGGGCCGAGCAGGCGGGGTCGGAGGGTCGCGCCGCAGCGCCGATGCATCGCCGATGCGTTTCGATGCGGAGCCCGATTTTCAGGAGGGAAAGAAACACACAGACACAATTAATCGGCGATTCCCCAGAAAATATGGGAAAATATGGGAAGTGGGGGGGAAGACAAAAACCAAGAAAATATGGGAAAATATGGGGAATCCTTTTATTTGTGTGTATTTATTTGTGTGTCCCAGGGCCCCTTCAGATTTTCTCTTCGCCGCCGATGCTTCGGCGCTGCATCGGCGATACGTCGCCGACGTGTTGGCGAGGCGGCGCGATATTCCGACCCCATCTGCTCGGACCTCATTTAGGAAGCGTTTATCTGCTCTCTCACGGACGGAACTGTGCGGTGACCACAGGCAAGATTCGCGCGGGAGGGAGTTGGGTGAAGCAGTGGCGAAGCGTCCTGGCTCGCCTATAGGCCCACTGAATAATGTTCTCAGAACCTCTTGTGGTCTGCACGAAGTGCTTCTAGACAATTTCTTTCTGATATTGTTTTGTTTTAATGCATCAGGTCTGCGTTCTAAGAATTTTTTGTTCTTAAAACTTTTCTGGGGTTCGAATTTCGTGGTAGGCCTATAATAAGAATGCCGGGACGGTCGGTCCCTGCTCAATTGGGAGGAGCGGGGGTCTGTGGGGGACCCGTAATCAAAAAACGGCGAGCACGCTTCGCTGGGGGTATGTGGACGAGAGGAGGGGGAGGAGCAGGAAACATGAGCAGGATTTGCTTGTGCAGTTGGGGATGAATTTTTCGCCGTTGCAGTACAACCTTTGCACAGTCCCTCGCGTAGCTGGGCCGTTTCGCTGTCCACTCGACATGTTGCATCGAGGCGGGGACAATCGCTGACTTTACCACCTCTGCGGCGTGGCGGGGCACCAATTCGTAAGGTGCGTCCCCCTCCTCCCTTCGAGCTCCCCCCAGGAGACTCCTAGAGCTGTGCAGAAGTTCCAGCGTGGCCCCACGGCGGTCCCAGGAGGTCCCCAGACTGCCCCGGGAAGTCTCCGGCGCGAGGCCCCAAGAGGCCGCAAGAATGCCCACAGAGGGCTTTCGAAAGGGCCACTTCAATCAAACCCACAAGGATTCCCAACGTTTTCTGTGTGCTGGAATTCTCGCTTGTTGCGGAAGTGTAGCTCCAAGATGGCCTTGGAGGCCCAAATGGCCCCGAAGAGTGTTGCACCACTGCCCAAGGATGGTCCACGACTGCTGCGAATATCAAGCCCCAGTGCGACTTCAGACACGAACGCGTGGGCTTCCAAGTCAGGGACCCGATCATCCGGACACGGCCTCTCTGACGCGCTGTGCGCTTGGCCCCGTG